AACAAACCAACCAAGAAACGATTTCTCAGAAAAATATGTAGAAGAAAATTGAGATGGATGGGGCATTCCTTGAGAAGGCCGTCGAATGACATTGCACGCAATGCAGGCCATTGTTCGAGTGGAGTCACAACGGGAAACGACTAGTGTATGGTCAGTGCGAGGGAAGAATGGAGAGGATCTTGGTAGGAGGAGATGAGAGATTATGGACAATCGTGGACCCAGCTGAAGATGATGGCAGAAAAAAGGAGAAAGTGAACATATGCTATTGAAGACCTATTTTCCACTCGGAACACAAGGAAGTAATAGCAATAGATAATAACAGTAAGCTGATGGAGAATTCATATTGAAGTGTGCACTGAAGATGTCTAGAATGACAACGGGAGCTCCATCACTTCAATATTCCGCTCACAGAACGCAACTGAACTGAAGTGAAACATTATTCAAATAAGGGATCCTTCTGAGCAATTACCAAATAAATGAAGTTTGTAGCTCATACCTATAAAACAAGAGAAATGACTGGGACAGATGAATAGTTAATGATTCCTGGATAGTTGTGATGTCCAGTCAGTCATATATTGACTGGCTGATCGCAATCACTTGAACAGCTGAATATTCTCACATTGTTATACTTAGAAGATGATCAGCCTAATCTTTGAACTCTACGGTCACTGACTACAAATATATCAGCAATAAGGCGAATTCAAGTGGAATCCTGACCACTTCACATAGCAACGCTTTCAGTCTTCTGAGTTGTAGAGTAGTTGTTAAACGTTCTAACACAGTAGCACAATAAACTGGTTGAGCATTGTGTAAAAGATCATTTTGAGCTCATTCAGTAGGTCTGGGATTGGAAATGGAGTTTTCTTATGGGTAAACGAATAATATTTTCTTGATTCTGGCAGGTGGTACCAAAGTTGTTAGCATTAAAAAGAGTTATATAATGACATGCATTCAGCTGTCGGTGTGATATCGAGAAAGAAGTTGACTTTAAGTTTCCATTTTTCGTTTAATTTCATTGTCAACATCTTAACATACCTCCGATTCCATATGCAAGATATTTTCCGAGTGAGACATTCACACTTAGGTTGTATGGTAAAAGTTGTGAGTTTTATAGATTAACATTATGAAGGTGACATCTTCCACTTCGAAAAGTGCAGAAACTTTAATTTATCCAAATAAACAGATATTCACTGGTTTCGTGTTTGTTGTGGCGCGTCCGGAAAAATGAATAACTTGTCAGGAATCTTAATATTAGTCAGTGTGTCCTTGTTCGAATATACACGTTGCACTGAAATCTTGAATTCATGGGCCATTAGATTGAGTCCTAGTGGCTAAATGGTCTACGAGCTAGCTCGCCTTGTAACCAGAAGGTCCTGAGTATGAACCTCAGTGGATGCGTGCTGATGAATAGCCCCACACTAGGAGGAAACAGTTGCCCACTAATTCCAGGTTTTGTAGTGGTTCTCTAACTGATGTTGGCTCATGTTGAAATAGTCCATCCAAAATCTTGAATACCCAGACTGAATAGTGCACCTAGAAAGTTGAAACGTAGTTCTTCGTGGTGTGCATTACAACAAACCAGTGGGAAACACAACCCACTCCTACATCCTCGTGAAAGCCTTTCCAATCCTTAAAAATGAAGTATTTTATTCAAGGAACCTGAATATCTTTAATCCGATATGTCTGTCATATTGGAAAGCTGCATACAGGAGCTTACTGGTGGTCTCCTAAAATGTCTTAATAGAAGATCTGGCTACAGTCGGACTACTCAACTAGCGTCTCAGCGTCAACATACTACACTACACGAAGCTTTCGAGCATAAAATCAAAACGACTACTTGCGTGAGAACTGAGGAAATTGATGATGAGATGCAATCAGCAGCTAATTGTGTGAAGACTCGAAAGTTATTCATCCATTCAGTTTGTCAGTAACGAAAATCATGTTGTCGGGATTACAATGTGACAGGCAGATAGCATGATGATATCCATCCAGTCGAGAGTGAGGATTGAGTTCCTGCCAGTGATGTTGGTTTGTGGTCGCGCTAAAATCACGAATTAGTGTAAGCTAGAATTACGCCAGTGAAGGATGACAATGGAAAGCCAATCATCAAAGAGGTGAATTAAAGGAAGCACTGGACTGAACACTTCAAAGGACTTCTAAATCTACTGCCACCTACAAAGCGCCAAATAATACCAACAGCAGAGGCAGAACTACCAGTGGATATCAACTCTCCGACGACAACAGGAATGCTGAAGGCAATCAAGATGCTGAAAACTGGAAAATCACCAGGACCAGACGGAATCCCAGCGAATGGAATGGAAATGGACCGAGAGACTTCAGCGGAGTTGATGACACCACTACTGGAGAAGGTTTTGAAAGAGATCAAGGTAACTGCGGATTGAAAGAAAGGCTACCTATTCAAACTGCCAAAGAAAGGGGACTTCGGTCAATGCAAGAAATGGCTCGCCATTATGCTCCTGTCCATCCCAAGCAAAATACCAAGCCGCATCATGCTGAAGAGAATCAAACATGCTCTGGATGAAAAAATTCGACCTTGACAGGCTGGATTAGGGAGGAATAAGTCATGCATCGAAGAAATCGCAATACTAAGTATCATCATTGAACAGAACTTGGAATGGCAGTCACCTCTCCATCTCAACTTCATTAACTTTGAAAGGCCTTCGACAGCGTCGACTAAGAGGTGTTTTGGCAACTACTTCACTACTACGGGTACCGCCAACAATTTTACATGCAACACAGGTGACTCAGTACAACTATCAACAACGTGGAATGTAATTCTGGATACAAAAGTGTCAATGTATGACATTTGTGATAAAAGATTATGTATAAATTAAAATAAATCCCAATAGCCGGTGTGGTCACAGGCAGTAATTTTGCCCGAAATATTTACAAAATCAAAAGCTTATCACTGTGTATAAACAACAATTGAAATAAGATTATAATTCGTTTATTTCTCACACAATGTGCAAATGCCTTTCAGATGTTTTGCATTTCCAGCTAAAACATTGCGTCGGACCGGAAAAATGAAAGACTAGGAAAGTACATATGAAATATGTGACCTACATTTCATCAAACACAAATTGAACAGGATAGGTTTAAAAATACTTGTGAAGAGGTAATTTAAATTTCAAGTCAAGTAGTATTAACCTCCTTACACATTTTCTCTATCCCTCTCGGTCACTCTTTCAAACTAAATATTGCTACTAGTGGCTATTCCGATTCATCCATGAAAGTGCAATTGTCCCACTTCTGAAAATGAAATCACCCAAACGATATCTCTGCTTAGCTTCAAGCTTTCCCTTTCCAATTTCATCAAAAAATACTCGGATTATGACAAGTTCATGAGATGGAGGAATTCGATTCAAAGTTGTTTTCATACTTTTGTTGGGATCATTCAATAAACCAGATACACAATTAACTCATACTACGTGTTCGGAATGAAAAATTACTATAAATCGATGTGAGCCATTTGAGTGTTTGAGAAATTCGAGAGTATCTACGGTTTTTCTTACTCCATTATTCATTTTTATCAATAATCCCGGAAACATTGAACACCTACATTCAACTCAGACAATGTTTTCTGCAAGATTGATAACGGCTTCGGAATTAAACGACCAAGCTCAAAGAAGACAATTAGGTGGAGAACCCTCTAAGTGAACCAGGAATCAACTCCATCATTTTGACACCAATTGCTTCTTCCATTCGAAATAAGCATCGTTCTTCGGTCAATAGCCTTCTCAAATGAAGTAATTAGTATATGCTACCTGACTGAATTCGCAGATAACTAAATGTGCTTACTGTTACAATGTGTTACATACATACGTGCATACAAACAACCACATGAGAACAACATGCACAATAAGACGATTATGTGAACAAAGTCAAGACAATACCGTTTGAAACAAACTCACTGTTATTATTATTTATTATTATTATATCTAATAATTATGTCGTAAATGTGGACAAATTCCTCCGAATAGTTTTGTTTTAATTTTTAATTTTATATACATTTTGAGTAAATCAGATGCAATATTGTGACAAATACTGAGAATTTCATTCTGTTTATAAGTTTTGGAATAAAGTAAATTATTATTATTTTGTGTGAAGTGGAATCACATGTAGAGTGAGAATGAACTATGATCCTTCAATATGCAAAAACGCGTCAATAATCATCAAAGAAGTCGGAAAATATACATATATATACAAATGAGGAAATACGTGAGAATATTCTTGAACGTACGAAATTTCGAAGCTCGGAGGTACAACAAGTAAGTGAATTTCAGTTATATCTCATCTCTCGTTTGCTGCCAATTTGATTTATTACTAAGTTTGCTCAAATATGAATAGCAAGCTGACGATTTTAGTCTGACTTTGAACATGTTTGAGGTATTTCACTTGAGTATGAACATAGGAAGTACGCTCAATCACATTTAATTGGGTTTTATGGATCTAGTAAATGTGGAATGTGTTAGTGTGTGATGACTAGATGTCTAATAAACTCAGAATTCTGTGAGGTGTGATAGAGCAAACTGATGTTCTCATTTATCCTCCCCAGTTTTGTGGCAGAGTGTCATCGTCTGATACTTCCATGCATATATTGACTCCGTACATACGCCCAAAAGAGACCAGTTTTTCTCCGATGATGCAGAAGAGAAACTCCAGTAGGCTGTTCCCTCAAAGTTTGATATGGTGTATGAGAAACACAAATGAGATTTTCTTCAACCCACTCAATTTCGTAGAGCACACTCTTCCATACGATCACTGACTCCATCTCATCAACATTCGCAAACTGGTGCATTTCTCAAGCATTACGGAACCTGAATTATGTTCAAATAATCTGACAGTCACATCCACACCATATTCTCCGTTGGCATATTCGGAAACTCTAATCTATGTGTCCATTTTTATCATGTATATTCTGAGGTGATTAAGTTACTTCTGCGCCGTTGTCGTCTATCATTTTCTTCGTAAATTTGCAGCCCATTGGAAAATGTCACGTCTTTATGAATCGTTTGAGAATTCCAAGTATAACTACGGGAGTCTACAGCGAATTCCTCTCCCTGACAGCATTTGGGTAAGATAAAAGTGAATTAATATGTGAGCAATTTTATTCTTAGATCCTAATAGATACACTTCTTATGATAATGGAGACAGCTGTTGTTTTTCTCTTGATTACTTTCGTGTAAGGACAGATAAGATTTTCCGATGAAATATTCTCTCGGTTGTAGGGATGGGCTATGGAAATACTTCAAAGAGGATACCTGGAGAAAGTTTACCATTTCGTAAGTTCTCTGTTCAACATTATTTATCGAGTGTTCAATTGAATTCATCACACCTTGACAAGTGGAATTTATTTGTGATACAGAGCAGTAATCCACTTCACAGCACACTCGATAACTAAATTAGTATTAACTGAATTTTCAGGAAAAGGGGAGTCTTAATTTATATTAAGGCCTTGAGTTTTGAGAGAGTCTGTTCTTCACCTGTATTCAGATCATCGATTACACATTTCGCTAATTAGGTTGAATTCCACTAAAGTGTTTAATTAACCTTCAAGGATAGAAATAAAACAACTGGTTCATACAATAATTACTGGAATGCATTTTTAGGAGTAGAGCATTTGTAGAAACACGATCGCTGAAAATGTATTACAGAGAAGATTCCAGCAATGGTGGACATCACAATAATCAATACATTATGTCAAGAATGCTACTGAACTTTCGTCATGAATATTATTCACATGGTGACATGATGCAAACCATTTGTCAAGATTTTATTCGATAATTGCGCAAAAACTTCTGATCAGATGATATCTCAAAGTAAGTCATATTTGAAGAAATAATAATTGAGAAATAATTCCAACCTCTCACTCGACACATTGGAAATAGTGTAAAATACAACAACTTAACTATGAATAATAAGGTGCATCTGGGCCTTAATATCGCTGACATAATCAGTACAAGCAGTTCAGTGAAGAGTTTCTTCTCTTGACGAATTCATTTTCTTCACTTGCACAATCCCATAAGGGAGGATCCATCGTTGGGAAACTCACATGGAACAACCAAACTGAACGTTGACAGAGGGAAGAATCGTGAGAAGAATGGCTGGTTATATTAATGAGTGCATGTAAGAAGTTGTATAAGATCAATAGAAATACGTAGTGAGATAGGAAACATACTATGTGAGTTTTGATATGCATGCACATGGAAACAAAGGAAATACTATGTTCCATTCACGAACAACGACATCTTTAGTTTATTAACTGTTACGTTGAAATTTAGTCCTTTCTCCAGTACTTTTATCTCACTGGAGCTTAGTTCCCTTGATGAGGGATAAAACAACAACAGAAGAGGTTAGAGCACAATGTGCAGTAACCATAAAAAATCAAAAGAAGGCGAAATCAAACTTGACAAAATCGGAAAGAGAAGCTTTAATTAATCTAAAACAGGATAAAAATATTGTCATCGCAAAAGCTGAAAAAGGAAACGCCACCGTAGTTTTGAATAAATCTGACTACATCAAGAAAGTCACTGAACTATTGAAATGGGTCCATATGAGGAAATCAAGAAGCCCGTAGATACAATAATGAATAAGGTTAAAAGAGCCACAGCGGAATTAGTAAGCAGGAGGAAGCCATCACTGTGTGAGACTAAATGGTTTAATTTAATGCCCAAAACTAATAATGCTAGTAGGATGTATGGTTCTATTAAAATACATAAGCCAGGTTATCCCATAAGACCAATAGTAGATTTTAGAAATACCCCTACATATGAATTATCAAAACATTTAGCTCTAATATTATGCCCCATTAGCGATCGTTCAAATTCTAGACTAACTAATTCATATGAGATGAAAAATAAACTAAATGACAAACAACTAGATAATGATGAAACAGTGGTTAGTTTTGATATAACCAGTCTTTACACTAATATACCAGTCAATATGGCCTTAGAAGCAGTTAAAAAAGAACTAACTGCGGATACTAAACTCAATCATGGGACAAAGCTGTTCATTGAGGAAATTATTTTAGGGATTCAGCTATGCCTCACATCTACTGTATTTAAATTCCAAGGCAAAAAATATAGACAAACTGAAGGTGTAGCAATGGGATCACCAATAACCCCTATCGTGGCAAATATATTTATGGATAGCTGGGAAAATATGGCACTTAATACTTTTAATCCTACTCCAAAAATATGGTGGAGATATGTGGATGACACTTTCACAGTGTTAAAAACAGAACATATCTCTAGCTTCTTGACACACATAAACTCACTAGTGGAGGGAATAAAATTCACATTTGAAACCGAAAATGAGCAAGGAGAATTAGCTATGTTAGATTGTAAAATAAAACGAATAGAAGAAGGCAAACTACACACTAGTGTTTATAGAAAAACCAACGCATTCTAATAGCTATTTAGACTTTAATTCATCTCATCCTTTAACTGTTAAGGCAGGCTTAGTTAAGTGTTTAACAAACCAAGCAATGGCACTAAGTAGCACAAAAAAGACCTTAATGATGAAATAAAACAGATAGAAGAGGCGTTGGTTCTAAATAACTATCCTCTAAAATTCATTAGGAAGATTGAAAAATGCCAAAATAAAAATAAAAAGAATTGTGAAACTGGTAATAATAACATAAATAGGAGAGAATATAAGTCATCTACAGTTATACCATATGAAGAGGAGACATCTGAGACCCTACGTAGGATTCTAAATAAAGCAGGAATTAGGGTGGCATTTAAACCTACAAACTCACTCAGGGACAAGCTCTGTAGGTAAAAGGACCCAGTGGACCCAATTAGACAAAATAATATAATTTACAAAATACCCTGCAATGACTGTGAGTAAGGTCAACTACATAGGTCAAACTAGTAGGTCAGGGGTAGTCGGATTGTCAGAACATAAGAATTTAGCTGAGGTAAGAATGGTTGACCCAGAGAAGATAAGTAATTTAGAAGGAAGCTCGGCAAATGCAATGCATGCATTAACACACAACCACACAATAGGGTGGGAGAGGGTTAAAATTCTAAAAAGTAATCTAGGTAGGTGGAGAGAGAGGTTGATTACTGAATCTTTGTTCATCGAATCTACACCCAACGCATGGAATAGGAATGAATCATCACTCATACCTGAAATATAGAAAATAATACTACCAATCAAATCAAGTGAAAAACAATGGAACTATATAAATGAATTTGGGAAGTCGTGTGATTACCTTGTGCGTCGGTGGCACAGTGGTTAGGACTCTCGCCGAACATGCACATGGTTCGAGGTTCGAGCCCCTACCGGCGCACTCCCGATATCTATGGTCGGCCTGCAAAATTTCGGCTACCGATATCCATGCTGAAAATGCCATACTTGAACTGAAAATACGGTGTGGCATCAAGTTGTAACCAAAATATAAAAATATAAAAATAAATAAAAATATGATTATGAGCAATAAATTGTGCTCGAAACGTCATCAGTAAATATTACTGTATAACACTGTGATTCTTCCCTTTTCAACTGTCCAGAACCTTTCTGAATTCTATTGTGCAGCTTAAGAAATTGAATTTCTTTTAATAGAGACTCTCCACTGAACTGCTTCTACTGATTTTTTCAGCGATATTAGGGCTCAGATGCACCCCATTATTCATAGTTTAGATGTTTATCTTCAGCTATTTCCAATCTGTCGATTGTTGGAATTATTTGTCAGTTTTTATTTCTACAGATATGACTCAATTAAATTCTTCACAGTGATTATTCATTTAATCATTTGCTTTGAAATTAGTGAATCATTGTCTCATCTTGATTACCACGTCTGATAATGTTCAAACATGCACTTGGAAGTTTTGTATTTTATTTGACACTCAGTAGAACTAGTCACACAGGACCAAGTTTATATATAAACAACCATGGAGGAGGCCTGAGTTGTTAGTTTACACTTATCACATTCGGACTACTTACGACTGAACAGACGATCAACCTTAATCAGTTTACAACCCATTTCCACCCTCTGTGGCTTACTTCGACTCGAGGTAATAGTTGTTCAGCCGAGTAATTTCGAGTCTTAAGAACATTCACTTTGGTGATAAACAGATTTCAATAAACAAAATATTCCCATAGTAAAATTTAGAACAACACAGATTTGCCAAATAATAATGACAATGATAACTGGGGTATCTGTCCGAATGTCTTCCATTTCTGATGATATTTGGTTTTCGTCTATCATCTGGTTGTCGTCTGACAAACCAATTAAGAAACATCAAAGTTACGTGTGAATATGGCTCAACATATTTCTGAAGCTTAACACTGTTTGGTATATTGTTTATCAGGTGAAGATTTTCATCTAGGACTCTAAATGTAATGATGTCCGAAGATGTTATCTAGGTATTTCGGACGATTAGAGCATCTCACAATTGCAGCTGTTTCCAATGAGTGGATGCACAGATTGGTCAGTGAGGGAGATTCTGGTTGTTCCATAACAATACCATCTGTTTCACGTGGGATATCTCCTCTATATTTGAACACTGTTTGATCTGAACACACTTCTAGTGAATTCATAATTTCTCTTTTGCCGGAAATACACCGACCGCATAGCCCACTGTCTGAAAATGGTGAATGACGAAGACTTGGGAATATTTCATCTCATTCAACATAAATTGACGCGGTTCTGCTCTCAGATTCATACATATTCTGTACTCAATATACGGCTTGCATTTTATAAGGTTTCGGTATTCAAGGAGTGTATGTTGAGAGGTTGTGTATGAGAGAGTTAGTAGGTTATAAATATAGACGTTATGGATTATTTATTTATTTAAACGCAGAAAAACGTGGTACAATATGGCACGAAGAAAGATGCGCCACACAATATTGTGTGAGGGCTGAGATACTACCCGGGCGCCGAGACCGAAGCAGGTGTTTTTCCTAAGGGACCACCCCCGAGCCTTTGACTTGTAGTCTAAACCGCAAGGCAGCGAAGCTTCGTGAGGAGCTGCGTTCCCATGGTTGCCGGTGACCCATATGGGTTCATACGCCATTCGATCCGATTGAATTCTGGAGCCCATGTACCCCATGGTAACTGCTTTTAGTCTAACCACTATCCAAACAACCTGCTTGACATGGTAGGACCTGCAGGGAAATGAGTCTCAGCCAGTTTAGCTTGTTGGGTCACTGCGGCATTCAAGCTCGACCACCACG